ATCACCCTAGTTTACCAAGCAGTATCAGCTAAATGGGCAGAAGATCAAAAATTTAACAATGCCGGTCTTAAAATGAGGAAATTTGTTTTCTTCAGCTTTGAGTCCATTGTGTCCTAGCCTTGAAATACTGAGCTGTGCAGGCACAATATCTTTTCCTCTCCAACCAAGCTTCTGCATCTCTTTTGTTCCTTGAGACCCAGATAATACCCATGTCCTGATGATTGAGGAGGAGAGAAGGAGAAAGGAAGCTCTGCTAGAGGAGAAACACTTGAAACTGTGCAAGGGAATGTCTCTCTGTATTTGTTACTCATCCAGTATTGGAGGGATTGCAACTCTGACTGGGACAACACCAAATCTGGTACTGCAAGGACAAGTTGATGAGTAAGTCACAGTACCTCCCCTTTCTAATTCATTAAGTACATACAGAAGAGAATGTGGAATTCTGGATGCTAACAGCCACCTGTATTTTACAGCCTCTATCCTGGTAATGGTGGTGTCATCAACTTTGCCTCCTGGTTCTCCTTTGCCTTCCCCACCATGCTTGTGCTGCTGGTTTTGGCATGGATTTGGCTAGAGATACTGTACTTGGGCTTTAAGTGAGTACCCTTTACCCTCTGCAGTCCAGCTGGTGGGCCTGTGATCAAGAACTCATTGCACAAGTGATCCTTTTATTGATGGGGAAAGTCACACAGCAAGTGACGAATTCCTCACATAGAGACAAGTGGAACAGCCCACTCTGTCTGTTAAAATACTCCACCTTTTTCTCTGAGGAATCTGGTCAAATCCCAACTAAATACACTCTGTAGGTACAAATAGGAAGTCCTAACAGCATATGAGCTGTTTTGTGTCATTGCTGTCATGTCCCAAGAGATTGCTGTGCTTCAAAGCAGAAAGTGCCTTTGTGACAAGTGTTGCCTCAGACCTAGAGGATTAGTCTTGTGCTGTTATTTCCAATGCTAATCACTCCAAATACCCAGCTTACATTACCTACCTGTTCAATACTTAGCCTATCAAGTTTGTGTTATGCCCAAATTCCCTTGTTTTACATGGAAAGAGTGCTGCAATACCTGAAATGGTATTTTCATCTTCCGATTCCTCCTTTAAGATTCTCATTTTCTGTAATTTTAAAAAGCTTGGCAACTCTTTACTTCCTAGTGATCACAATAGCCTTGTCAGTCACACTAACCTTGTCCTGGTCTAGTGGAAGAGGTCCCTGCCCTTGGCAGGGGGTTACAATGAGATGGTCTTCAAGGTCTCTTCCAACCCAAACCATTCTGTGATTCTATAGTATTTTTCCCCATGTGCTCAGATAGCACAATTCTTTTTGTATTTCAATCATGAGCTTTTAGGGGCAGGAAGCTGCTTTCTGATCGCCTTGGCAAGCCATGGCACAATGCTGTTAGTACCCACCACGGCTGCTGATCCTATGATTATAATATATTTAATTGCAATATTCGTATATCTAAAAGATATTATGACTGAGAATAAAATCTGAATTCTTAACTGAGGCAAATGTCTTAGATATTTCTTTTCTGTTTTCTTCTAGTTTTAAGGAGAATTTTGGTTGTACTAGAAGTCCCTCTGCCAAGGCTAAGGAGAAAGAGGCCTACGCCGTCATCAAGGAGGAGAGCAGGAAATTGGGCAGAATGAAATTTGCAGAAATAGCAGTTTTGGTCCTCTTCATACTCTTGGTACTGCTCTGGTTTACAAGAGAACCTGGGTTCATACCAGGCTGGGCAACAGTTCTTTTCAACAAAGATAATATAAGGTACTACCACTTTCATTCCTCAGTTTGAGTAAAATAAGAATGCTGGATTTTATAAAAATTAAAACATATCTGACTAAATATCTGACTGGTCTGTTGCAGCTACGTCACTGATGGCACAGTTGCCATCTTCATTGCAGTTTTGTTGTTCATCGTCCCTTCTGGCTTTTACAATGCACAAACAGGTGAGTTTACTGAAACATTAAAAATCAGCTATCAGAATAGGTACATGGGAAGTTTCACATTTGAGGTTTACAAAAGAAATTTCAAATATTAAATAAGATTTCAAACTGCTCTTCCTGCATAGCTACAGCTTTCTGTTGAGGTTAGGCAAGCCATGTATCCCATAAAAATTCTCTGCTTCTCATTAACTAAGTAGGAGACTCTTATCCCAGCAGTGTTCCTGCCTCCACTATACAAATGTGTGTGTGTTCTTCTGAGGCTGGAATTTCAGGAGAGATAATGACTTAACAGAAACACACATAGGTCTGCAGATATGTCGCCACACTTTTAGCTCACCCCTGCATTGTAATGTGCTTTTGGAAGCAGCTGCAGATCATTCATTAGTGCCTGTGCCAGTCAAGTTTTAAATCCTTTGTTGATGAGGCTTTTAGCATCTGCTGTGGGAGGTAATTCCAGGTCTTGCTGACAGAAGGGTTCAGACTAAAGTCATGTCCCACCAAGAAGTTCTCCTTTCTTTGGAGAATGCAATTCGGTTTACAAAATCTTTTTGGATTTCAGATGGAAGTTCAAAGTTCCAAGCACCTCCACCTCTTCTGGAATGGAAAGTAGTTCATGAGAAAATGCCATGGGGTATTGTGTTTCTGCTGGGAGGTGGCTTTGCCTTAGCCAAAGGCAGTGAGGTAACATTCCTTGGCTTACCTGGGATTTGTGTCTTCCTATAAATGTAGTATCTTCTTCTTCCAAATTCTCTGGAAGGGAAAGCATGTTTATTTTTAGATAACCTAACAAATGATCCTGTCTAGGAAAATGGGCTCTTGCATATCTTTCTGCAGAGAGCAGTTTGTATGAGAACAGCTATGAGAAGGGAAGGTCGAATTGACAGGACAACTGCAACTGGACTGCAATGTGGTTATTTCCTGAAACCTGTCTTGAAAGCCATTTATCCTCTGTTGCAGGAATCTGGTCTTTCTGCATGGTTAGGTACACAACTCACTCCCCTGCAGAACATCCCTCACCCAGCCATTGCTTTCCTGTTGTGCCTCCTCGTTGCCACTTTCACCGAGTGCACCAGCAACGTCGCCACCACCACCCTCTTTCTTCCTATTCTGGCTTCAATGGTAAGTTCCAGCATTTCAAAATATTCTTAAAGGAACAGTTTTCAACTCTTCTCCAAGCATACATCTGCTCAATTGTCAAAATTAACTGGCTGCCATAGCCAAGCACCGGTTTGTGTATCCAAACACAGATACAAGATTTAAAACAAACATATCTGTATGTGGGTGAATATATTCTATAAAAATACACTGTTCTTAGTTCAACCCTTCTAAAATCATTGCTGGTGAAGGGTAAAGGGATTAAATTCATTGGCATATTAGACTTTGCCTTCTGGCCTAAACAACCCCATGAGGTCACTGCCAGCTGTACTTGTTTTTCCCACTTTGTTCTGCATGGAGGCAGCAACAGCAGCAGCATTTGCTTCCCTGCAACATTCCGTTACTG